TGTCTCACTGATAGAATTTCCCTGGGACCCGAGGGGTAGGGTTTTAAAGTTTTAACATTTAAAAAAGGTTTTAAAACCTTTCTGTGCATTTATGATATATTGTCTGATAAGGATTCATCCATCTAGAGGAGGAAGCACTTTTCCCCTCGGAAAAGGCATTTTCCCCAAGGCAGAGGAGAGAGAATGAGCCTACATCCATACCCTGACCTGGCTCAGGTCCAGCATTTTCAGGCAAAAATCGCTGTCCAAATATAAGGTCCTAAGAATAAGGTCATGATGGTGATGATAACAGCTAACAGTTATGGAGCTATAATAATCTATTATATGGGTTTGATCCCCTGATAACCCTGTAATATAGGAGAGGAAACCTGGAATTGCAAGCTTAATGACTTGCCCAAGCTCACACAGCTTCTAAGGGGCAAAGTTGGGATTTCGGGCAGGGCTTGTTGGAGCCCAGAGGAGACCCTCTGCTGTATACTGCTGCCTTTATTAAGCCCCTACTTTGGGACAAGAACAGGGCTCGGTGCTTCAAACATGATCATCCTAATCTTTAAGGGCCCCTCTCGTAAATCTGTGTTTCAGAGAGGAGGGATAAGAGGGGTTCAGCAATCTGTCTAAAGTGACAGTTCTGGTCAGTGAGTGCCAAATATAAGCAAGTCAGCCTGCAAAGAGCCACTCCCTCTTCCCCTATGTGGACAGACTTGAGGACAAGGCGGGCCTTGGGCATCACTACCTGCAGAGTGGACTGTATGTGTGAGCGCGGCCAACTATGCCCAAGCCATGCTGAGCTCAGGCAGAGCCAGGCGAACCCCACATGCAGCAGCTACCCAGACTGAGACCATCTGACCTTGATGCTGAGTTCCTCTACTGTGCTTGGAGGGGTCCAGAACCCAAAAGTCAGTGAGCACTTCCCTTAACCCATGCATGCTCTGAACCTGAGAGAGGGAGAGGTGCGTACTGCCTTTCAGTTTCTACGAGGGTGGTTTTCTTGGAGAGTTCTAGAGCAACAATGGAGGCTCTGAGCTCTCAGATGGATATGAGCTGGAATCCGACTGTGCCCTTTTCTTGCTCTGCCTAACCTTCCTGGGCCTGAGCTTCTTCATCAGTAAGCTGCCATTGTAGAGTTGTCACAAGGATCAAAGGACAACGGTTGTAAAATGCTTAGCACCGTGCCTGGCACGTGGCAAGCCCCGATACACCATCACTGGGATTAGTATGTGCATCATTTTGTAGCTGGTCCAGTCTCTTCCAGGGCTCCTGTAGCTATGGATACTAATTCCAGGAAATATGCGAAGCAGTTCAGTATGTTCCCAACCAAGACGGGGCAGAAGATAGAAACCCCTGAGAAGGATTTGGGGCTTCTCTGGAAGCAAATGCAGGGCAGGGATAGGTAGGAGGGTCCCATGCTGACTTTGGAGTACACAAATCTCTTCTCTTTCCCAGGTGCAATCCCAAAGGAGGATTCCTGCCTTCCCCCAAATGGCTTCAAGCCACCAATGGAGAGGCCTCATGACACCGATAGGTAATAATTAATTATCTTGTTCATTTACTCTTCCAGCAAACAGTATATGTACTGAGCATGCTGTATGCACCAAGCACCATGGCATTCTGCAACAAAACCTAGCAAAATATAAGAGGACTGAAGGCAGAGACTGACCCCGCTTGGTCTCACACTGCAGAATTGGGCTCTATTCCTGCTGGATCTCCTTTCTCTTGCTGCCCCAAATTGTACTTATTTACACTTAAGTAAATGATAACAAAACACTTCTGGGTCTAGAAGTATATATATATATATATATACACACACACACGCATTTCTTACCTCTTTCTTAAAGCACTTGGCATGTTCTTCACAGCCCAGAAGAGACTGCACAAACTCAGCCACCTATAGTGCAAGATGAAAAGCCTAATTTAATACATGCACCTGAAATAATTTTAGGGTTGTAGTAATCCAACATTTAAGTAAAATATACTTAAAGTCTCTCAAACACTTGGGAATTAAATAGTATCTATCAAGTTGCATGAGCATTTGTCAACTGAGAAATTAGACCAGCCCCCAGTATTTTTTCTGTCCTCTTATTACTGGACTGACCTGCACCGGGTTATGGTTATAATGATGACAGTAACAGCCTCCATATGTGAAGCTCTGGCATTCTGCAAGTTCTGTATCTGATTCTCCTGACTCCCCTGTGGGGTCAGTGAGGGCGAGGCCAGTGGACTTGTGCAGCAGTTATCACAGCAACAGGCAGGAGTGAGGACCTGCCCGCTTGCCTTTAAAAGGCAGACCCAAAGGCAAGGCCTTCTCCTACTCATCTCTGTGGCCCAGTTCCTTACCTGGAGCCTGGTGAACCACAGGCGATCAGAGAATCTATGCGGAGCTGAATTCCCACATAAATGATGGTTAAATGAGGTTCAGCACTTACCCAGGGCCATACACGGTTGGTAAGTAGCAGGGACATTTTGGAATTCAGGTTTGCTATCTCTAGGCCCTACGTTTTGGAGAATCAGTCTCTTCATTTCAACTTCCCACCCTCACCATGCCCCCACATGCCCCCAAATATCCTTTTAACAAGAGAGAGCTCAGACAAAGATCTGGCTATCAGCTCAGGAAGCCACTGAGTGCTCCTAATAGATACCTTTGGGAAGCTGATTGAACAAACATGATAAAGGGTAGACTCCCAACATCAGAAACGACAGCTGGGTGGTCTGCACTACTGCCCAACTCCAGTCCTGTCGCAGCAAGGGATGAAAGGCAGGCTGGAGTGCAACAGTAAATGTCATCTCGGGAGGTGATACTTCTAGGGGAACTGTCTTGTTTGTTTTGTTTTTTTTTGGCTCTCTGCTTCTTGTGTCAACCGAATTGTGGGTGCTGGCCCTTCTCCTCTCCCCGGTTTCATGGGGAAGGTTCTCGAGGCTGGAGAGTGCAGTGTATCAACACGTCCCACCCTCAGAGAGCTCTGTGAGCACAGGCTCCCTCCCAGCCTCTCCAGGAGAAGTCCGCCGACGCTGCCCTTGATGGTGCAGGAGATAGCACCAGGTGTTTGCTGATCCCAGGTGACAGAGCAGTAAGGGCCAACTCCCACAGGGCGTACCCTAGGGCTGGACACCTGTGCCCCTCCTGAGCTCTGTCCCCTGTGGTCTCACAGCTATATTTAGTCAGTGCAAATGTGAAGAGTTCAGAATATCTTCTTTTTAGGGGTGATCTGCATGTCCATGTCTGCTTTACTCACCCCTGGCGCTGCAAATATATTCTTGAGTCGTTTTACAATCTTCATATAAAGTTTGGAGTGATAGGGATTTAAAAAAAAAAAAAAAAAGTTCCACACCAGCCATACTGCTGTCATGCAGGTTCCCCTCCAAGCCCCAGGAGCATCTGTGCTAGTGAGTGCCTCTGCTGGCTGGGCTCTCAGTATTATGAGCGAATTCACCCGAGAACCCGACACTGGCAATTCAGGCAGAGGAAGCCGAGTCTGTTTGCTGGGCTAATACAGTTTTCTTGTTCTAGGTGAGAAGGAAGCATGTAGAGCACGTGCTCAGTACTTGCTGGGAGCTAATGAAAGCTGTGGAATGCCACTGGTCAAACTGCAGAGGGCAACTGGGGCAGGTGATGGCAGTGGCAGTGCGGTTGGTGGCCCAGGACATGGAGAGTGGCCTGGCTCTGTCATTCCCCAGACCACTCTGCTGTTCATATATACTCCAACCCTGCCTGCGTGTGAGGCCTCAGGCTGGCTGCTAGAAGAGCTGCCCTGGGAGCTTGTTGTGCTTGAATTTTCAATGAGTTGATTTGATTAGTGGTGGGAGGATTGAGGGGAACCGGGAGGACATGAAAGCTTATCACTCACTACAACATGTGGTCAAATGTGCTAACACCCTTGAGAAAGGTAGGAAGGCTATGGGTGTTAGGAAGGGACTCCACAAATCTTAGGTGGGACTTCAGGAAGGACATCAGGAAGAAGGGGGACCGTGAGAGGGTTACTGTTGGATGCACAGTATTTCCACCGTGGCGATTTGGGGTGGATGGGCGGGGGAAGAATTCTAGGCATAGAGAATCCCAGGAGCAAACCCCAAAGCAGGACAGCACAGGGCCAAAGGGCGGGTGTGAGGAGCTGGAGGAGTGCAGTTTGACTGAGCTGAGGAGTAGACAGGGAGTGGCGGGAATTGGGGAGGGCCGCGTGGTTCCAGGTGTGGGTCTGTACTTCCTCCACAGCAGTGGGGAGCCCTAAGCCCTGGCACTCCACCCTGGCGGGACACTGGAGCTTTCACGCTGACTGTCGTCCAGGCCTCATGCCACACAGATGATAAATTAATGGAGCTGGATTGGGTCCAAGCACTGGGTAGATATTTTTAGAGCTTCCCAGTTGGTTCCAGTGTGCACTGAGGGCCGAGAATCACAGCGCTGCAGGAAGCTAGAGGAATGGTCCAGCAGGGTCTGGACGGACTCGTGCTGAGCCTCAGGGCTAGGCAGGGCAGGAATGAAAGATGAACACAGGAGAATGCTGTAAAGCCACGTTCCTCAACCTCAATATGGACACCTCAGGCCAGGTAACTTTTTGCTGTGAGGGCTGGCCTGGGTGTTGTGGGATGTTTAACGGCATCCCTGCCCTTTACTCACAAGGTGCCAGTAGCAAAGCCCCCTTCCCAGTTGTAACAACCAAAAATATGCCCAGATGTTGCCAAATGCCCCTGGGGGCAACATTGCCGCAGTTGTTCTGCTGGACTCACTTTTTCACAGGAAGGAGGGCTGAGTGTCGCAGGAGGAAATAATAGAGAAGAGGGACCAGTAACTAGCTAAGGAACCATGTTTTGTCGGATGTCAATCACTCACTGCAGTGGGAAAGCCACGTCAGCACAGGGACAGTGGTTTCCCCACTGCTAGGGGAAAGAAGTGGTTGGTTGGAAACATGGTCTCTTTTCCATACTTGTTCAAAGGACCGTTCACAGCAGAAGTGTTGCAAGTTGCTTTGACGGTTTGCCTATGTTAAACTGTCCTTTTCTGGGCAAACAAAAAAAAGACCACAGTCTTCCTTCTCAGTATCATTGGCCAAGAAATCATTGTCAATGTATGAAAGGTAAATTGGATTTTTTTTAAAGGAAATAAATAACGTGTTAAACCAAAGCATCAACAGAGCAGACGCGGCTCTGCCCCAAGGTGGCCTCTGCCTGGCCTGCAAGTAGCACTTGCCGTCTCCACCTCATCCTCCACCTGGCCACCCTCCTCAGCTTCACACTCCTCCGAAAGGCTCTGCTATTTTGGAAAGAGATTCCCATTCGATTCAGTTTATCTTATCTTTTCTTTTTCCAAAATAAGGAACAAGTTCCATGAACTCTATTAAGCAGACTTCTCTGGCCAAGAATTTTAAAATATGCAAAGGCTTTGATTCAGTATTATTAGTTGGTAATTACTTCCCCTACAAATAAATTGTATTTTGAGCTTTCATAGAAAGCTTTGCTACAGATTTTCTCAATGAAAGCCGTGAGTTTTAGCACAGAATAGAGTAACATCAAGAAGTTTCCCTTTCATTCTCCCATTAAAAGAGAGAGAGATTTTTTCTTCACATTTGTGGAAAATGTGGACAGCTGTCCAGAGGCGCATAACCTCTGCGAAAGACGAAATGACCATCCACTTGCCCTGCACCCACAGAAGCCATAGCAGTGGGGTCACCTGGTTTTTCAAAGGGGGTGATCACACTGTTGGAGCCCAGTGGGTGGCCTGGGCCTTGGCTTTGGCTCTGGGCAGCGCCTGGTGGTGTGGGGGGCTGCCACGCGGGTGTCTCCCCTTGACTTGACTCTGGGAAGTGCCCCCCACAGTGCTGTGACCACTGACACACCAGCACTTCCCACATTCTCAGGCACACAGTGTCCTACAGCTAAAATCCTTGCTCTGTTTTGGAAGGACACTGAGAAAGTTAATTCTAAGTATGAGACAGCAGTTTGGGGAAACTAGGAGGGATGACACTGCCCAGGCTCTGAGAGGAGCCCATCCCGCCAGCCGACCTCACTTCCCCCACGACCTACTTTCCCTGGCATCATCGCTGAAGCCCAGCAGGCCTCGTGTTCTTCCGTGGGGCTGCTGCTGCTTTAAATCTTTCCAAATGCCGGTGTTCTCTATCTCGCTGAGCCTGTAGATATGTGCCGGACTATACCGGCTAATCGTCCACTGGGGACCCTGTTGCCAGCCTGGGTCTTATTTTTTAACAGCAGAGTTTATTTGCCCTTTTTTTTAAGGGCTCAATTGTATAAGGCTGCTCTGCTTAGTTAGCAGTACCCTGAATTTTTCAAAAGCACCCCTTCCTGTGTAAAGGCTGCTTTTAAAGTGACTGCCATCTTTTAAAGTTAATGAACATTTAGGGAGCACTTGGTTGAGGCTAGAGCAATTTATATGTGGTGCTTTAAGAAGTATTTTTTAATAAGAGAAATAAAAGTACCCATACGTGCACCAGGCTTACCTGAGTCATACCGAGGGTGGTAAATGAGCACACCACATATCATGCCCTGCCTGCCTCCGTGTGCCTAGACATATATACCTGGCAGAATCAGGGAACAGACTACATAAAACCCACCTGCCTATTCATTCATGAACTCATTTACTCACTCGAACATTTGTCAAACCCTCTTCTGTGCAAGATGCTTTGCAATAAGATAGCAAAAGATTAAAAGATATAAAAATATATGAAACTATACTAGTCCCTACTCGTAAAAGCTTATGCTCTTGTACAGGATATCTTCATGACCCAGAATAAGACATATACTTTACATCTCCATAACTTATCACGTGCACACACCCACACACATCCCTCACCGAAGTTTAGCAAAGCAACAACCCTTATTACCTATGATGTGCTCTCATCTTGTCTGGTCTTTCGTTTTATAACCACTAAATTGACTTCCCAGCCTATCTGCGCTTGGAAAAGCACTGCTCTTGGAGAGACAGCCACAGTAACAAAGGAGTTAAGAGGCAGCTCACAGCTCTGTGGAGTGTTACAAAGGCCCCGCGCTGGCCTCTCTTCACAGGTGGCATTAGCAGAGCAGAGGTCTTCCTCCCGGGCCAGAAAGGCAGACAAAGAGGCTGTGCTTTCACCTCACCTTCGGCCGCAGACACCCGTGTTAACTCTTCCTGAGGGATGCCCAGTTCATTCCAACACAGCCCGTCCCCGGTTGTGTAGGCTCCTCTCTGAAACGCCCAGTGCCGACAAAGCACAAAAGCAGCCCTGGGCCCCCACCAGTCCAGCTCAGCCCTGAACTGCCGTTCACATCATTGCTGCCCTGCTCATCATTCTTACTGTGCCTTCTCTAAGCAGCCCTACGCTCTGCTGTGGGTAGGTACTCACCGGGGGCCCCTAAGTGGCTCCCTTACTGTCAAAGACACAAATACAGCAATCACAAAGCCCCCATTTTCAACCCATCAGAGATGATTCCTGAGGACCTATGTTGGTACTGGGAAATGTGCTGTAGTGTGTGAGGACATGGAAAGAAATTCAGGATGTGGTCCTTGTCCTCAGGGCATCTAGTTGGGGAGACAGCAAGACTGAGTTATGCTCAACAGTAGGGAACTATGACAATGGTTTTCTGTGGAATGAATCCCTGACGGAAGTCAGGGTTATGGAAGCAGCAGGAGCAGGAGCGTTGTATGCGAGGCACTTAGCCTTTCTCATGGCTGATATTTTAAATCTAGAAAAGTTCTAAGGCCTCTCCCAGCAGCAAGGGCTGAGATTCCACCTGCACCCACAACAGAGAACTAAGGACCAGGGCTCTCATCTTCCTAACAGCTTCTCTTTCTCTGGTCTTCCTTCTGAGAGCTTCCCTGTCCTAATGACACTTTCACCTAGACAAGCTACTTCCCTTGAATCACCTCCCAGTCTCGTGATTTTGCTTCTGTTAAGTGCCATACTTGAAATCTGTCCAATCAGAGCTCCCTCCCATTTCCTAGTCACTGCTAATGTCCCTAACAGTGGTGTCTGTTCTTATTGCATAAAGGCATCCCTGAGAAGTTAATAAAATCTCTGGCCCTTATCCATTAAAAATACATATACTGTACACAATTTTTCCAAATTCTTTGAGGCACAACTCCACAAACCCAGCCTCAAAACCTGACCAGCTCTGACACCTGTCCTGCTGCACCATATGCTCTGGCTTCATCTTCCCCTGACACCTGGCGTCCAGGGACTCTCTGGAAGTCAGAGCCCCTTTGCAGCCCCTCTTCCCTCTTTCTAACTGGGGCCCTGCTGACCCATCCTCACCCTAACTCTGGACACTCACACCCTTGGGAAATGCCCCTTGGTACCCTCTGGCTGCAGCCTTTAAGGGCAACCATCTTGAGTTTATGTCCACTGGGACGTCTCTATATCCACCACTGTGATTCACAGGGACTGCTAATCGTGAGTCACATGTCCAATAATGAAGTCACCATGTTATCCTCCTGCTCCCAAACTGGACTCTGTCCCCAAATTTCACTTCTAATAGCACACTCTTTCCCCATTCTTTCAGATGAACTCTTTGGGCCTTTCAGCTCTCACATACTATTACCCCAATCAAGTACTAAACTGTTTAGCGCCGAGACTATAAATGGAATCGCATTTGGTGCATCTCACTTTTTCTTCTTCTATGTCTAATCTACCTCCCTGTGCTACTGCCTGTGCCTTTGAAATATCTATCGAATCCGGGTTCTTTGGTTGGCAGCGCCCCACGAAGGCCCTGATGGTTCCACTTCCTGGGTGTCTCCTTCTCCTCCGCCCTTCTCACCTTACTCTCTACAGATCTCTGCAATTCTCATCTTCCTGAAACACCATCTTCACAAAGTGACTTTCCGCACAAGAACCCAGAATGACTCTGTCCAGCAGACTGTGGGCTGTGCACACCCTCTGCCCGGCCCCTGAGGCCTTCCACAGCAGGCCCATCTCCCGCTCCTGGGTCCCTTTCCTCTGTGCCTGGGGCCACCGTGAGCATGGTGGGCAGGACGTCAGCTCATGGCCTGGTTCTGACTGTGTGGCCTGATACAAGTCACTTCATCTCTGGGTATCTCAACTTCCCCGTGAATAAAATGGGCAAGTGAGTATCTGCCTTCCTGTCATTATATTCACATAGCTGGTTTAGCATGATGAATGACCGCACAGGGCGTGGTGCGTGTCTGCCATCACTAAGTCTGTGAAACTCACTTCCATGCAACCTCCTCTGTTTCCCCATCAACTGGAATGGCTTCCCTTCTTTTTTCTGATTAGATACATCCCACTTTTGTTTCAAAATTTAGGCCACCATTGATTTCCTTGTCATTCAACATTCATTCAACAAACATTTACTGGGTGTCTACTAACTTCCGGGTGTAGTGAGGGGTTCTCAAGATGTCATGGCAAGTGAGTGTGGGGTCAGGCCAGAGTGTGGATGTCCTGCCAGAGGTGACCTCTGGCTCAGTCCGAGGATGCACAGGAGGTGGAAGAGAGCATGGAGCCCCAGACTGCTGCTGGCAGTGGTCTGAGTGGGAGAAGGCAGGACTGTGTGAGTATGAGAACAGGCTGGGGCAACAGGACTCCCTGGGGCAGGAGGGGAGGGCAAGAATGGCAGGGCAGGCAAGGGAGGAAGGGAGGACTTCACAGAGGGTGAAGGGTGCCAGGGGGAGCCAGGGATTGTTGTAAGCTGGGCAGAGACATGCCCAGAATTCTGCCTTCTCCACCACATTCCTCACGATCAGAACTCTGTCACTCTGCACACGCAGGTGGGAGTGGAACTGAGGCTGGGATCTGGCGCTGCTCTCCCCAGGGCATCCTTCTGTGCCGGGCAGCGACGATGCCAGGGGCCACGAGCCCAGCAACAAAGAGGGCAGAGGAGACACTCTCAGTCTTACTTTAAAAAGGTGGCACTTCAAATGAATGGCTCCAATTTCTGGGTGGGCGTTGGCCCGCCTGTTCCTTGGCCCAAGGCTGGGAAGGCGGGCTTAAACCAAGATTAAGTTGACTGCAGTGAGTGCTCCAGGAACACTGTGTGTCTAATTTAACTGCGGCTGTAGCTCTAATCTTGCCCTCAGAGTGACCCAGGATTTTTCTTCTTTTAAAAAACAATTTAAGGCCTGACTAGTGAAAACAGTATCTTTATCAAAAGGAATTACAGGTAAGAGGTACATTCCTTAAATAATACCACCTTAAATATGAAGCATTTCTACAGCATTATTGTAAAGCAATGGGGCTTAACTGATCCTTATTAATAACCATTACTGAAGCCAGGCAAGGTGGCTCCTGCACATAACCCCAGTGCTTTGGGAGGCTGAGGTGGGAGAATTGTTTGAGGCCAGGAGTTCGAGACTAGCATGGGCAACATAGTGAGACCCCGTATCCACAAAACAAACGAAAAAAAATAGCTAGGTGTGGTGGCACATGCTTATAGACCCAGCTACTCAGAAGGCTGAGGTGGGAGGATCACTTGAGTCCAGGAGTTCGAGGCTGCAGTGAGCTATGATCATGCCACTACACTCCAGCCTGGGTAACAGAGCAAGACCCTGTCTCTAAATAAAATAAGACGACATGTAAAATAATCAATATTGTAAGGAATGTTTATATTGAAATCTGATCCAACTTGTGCCCTCTGTGCAGCTTCTCATATAACGTTGTGACCAAATATACTTTATAACTGAACCAAAGGTGGGCCTGCTCATCTTGTAGCTTTAGAGGAGCAAACCTGCAGCAGGGCCCTTCTCTGCCATGAGTGTGCCTGGATCCCACGAGACCACAGGGCAACTGGCAAATAGATCCTTGAGGTGCAGGATGTCCTGGGCTGGGCAACTCTCCCAGAGCACACGTGGCTGGGATGCAAGCCTCAGATGCTTGCACATTTGTGCTTCCCCAAATTAAATCTGTGATGTGGAATTGGAGGCTTAAGCCTCTCTGCTTGAATTAGCCCCAGCTGATGGCTCTGGGGCTCGGGGGGCACTGGAATAAGGCTGCAGAGGGGAGGTACAAAACCATCTGGGCAAGTGGCGGGCTTTCCTCATCTCCTCAAAACCATGCCTGGCTTCTCCCTCTAATTTGGGTTTTAAAGTTTATATGGCGGATGCAATGCCTAAGAGAAAAAGGGCGCTGTCCCAGACATTAGAGAATGGTCAGTGGGCACCTTCTGCCTATTTCTTAGCAGCAGGCACACCCCAGCCCTGGACTCCAGCAGCTCCACTCACCTCATCCACAGTCCATCGTGCCACTTGGCTGGCCCGGATATCAGCCACGCCTGGAAGCAGCTTGCAGTGTTGCTCCCTGCCGAGGGGAAGGTCCCGAAAAGGGTGGGCTGACACCGTGGACATGAACACTGACTGGTGAAGTGCCTGCTGCGCCTGCTCCGCTGAGGATTCTACAAGAGAGGTGGGGTGGGGTGAGGCTCAGGTTCCCAGAGAGCAAGCACTGCTGCGTCAGCCCCACAGTCCAGAGGGCCCAAGTCAGGGCAGGGAAAGTGCCGACACCACCAGAACCCGTGTCTTCTGATCGTACAGCATCACCCCCACGCATACCCTATGCCACCAGTCTGTTTTTGAGCAGTGGTCATAGAAGACATATGTTACCCATGCCTAGAAGACTGTGGCTGTGTTTCAGCCACATTCAAATAATCTCTGTAAGATGCTGTTTGATGGTCACTTGTCACTGCCACTGGCTTCTCTCTCCTTAAATTAGGAGTCAGAGGAATCAAAGAACCATGCAGAATTTGACTACTAAGCAGACTGGCACACTGAACCATCTGGGATGTGTATGCGCACAAAGAATAATTTCTTCCTGGAAGCGGCCTCATGAGTCTCTAAAGACAGAGTGAGCCTCAGTCCACATCTGGCTTTATAAATCCCCTGAGAGATACTGAACATGACATGTAGCAAGGGTCCCCATGAGAAGCTGGGTGATACCAGCTGCTGCTGCTGCAGATCCCCAGCAGTGCACCATGACCTCACCTGGGGTGACATCCTGTGGCAGCCTGGGGCTTTGGAAAGCAGCGGAAGCTGAGACATGACCTCCCTAACACAGGCACTCTTAGATGCGGTGCTCTTTTCTGAGCAGCTCTGCATGTACCATGGTTTTAAGGTACAAAGGACAATGGCTGTTTGGTTGCACAAGATTGGCTGCTGCAACCAAGGAGTGAGACTTCAACGGGAGATCGGATCTCCGTGCATTTCAGCCCTGTGCTTATCAACAGCCTTCTGTGCTGGTTTCCTGTCTTCAAGAGTGACTTTACTCTAACGTTACATCCCAACATTTAAGGAAAAGGCGTGGGTCTCAATTCCCTAATTATTTAGCTTAAATCTACAAATGGATAAGGAGCAAAAATATGATAGAGATTTCAGAGAAAACCAATGCCTTTATAATGACATCTTTTAAGACACTTTCAACACACATTAGCAAAATAAAACTGCTGATGTTAGAAGAGACTTTGAAAAGATCACAACAGGAAATGTTTGAAGCCCTCCAGAAGTCAACCTTTTGTAATGCAAAGAGAAGGTTAAATAAGCAGTAGCCACATAATTTAGGGTCTATTATGATGGTTTTTGTTTTACTAACAGAATCTGAAAAACCATTATGCAAATATTTCCACCTCAAATTAATTACAGCTTTTAGTAGGTGAGGCTGACCTGCATGGTCACAGTCGCATATACTCATTAGTAATCAGAAAGGTTCTAAACTCTGAGCGAGCTTGTCCATCACTGGGCTTCTCTGTGCAATACGACTCTCGTGGATCGGAACTGTCTACACAGATAAAGAGGCAGCAAAATTATCAGGTTCTCCCCAATTCTTATGCTCCAGGTGCAAGCAGCAGCAAATTCATCTTGAACTGCTGATTGTCCAACACTGACCTTTTTAGCATGTAAATAGGTTACCTCTTCTGTGTAGTTCAGACAACAGTACGTAAGTCTGCAGGTTCTGAAAGGAAACCTCGCATCTTCCTTGCAAAGGCAGTATGTTGGCAAATATGAATGGTTTTTAATGAAGTTGTCAGGCTGGACAAGGGACATGTACAAAACAAGCCCTTGAAACCTGGAGTGGGAACGTCACAGGGTCAGTCTGAAGTTGCAGTGACACAGAAATGATCCAAGGGCTTTGCTGGGAAGCCAGCAGTTAAAGCCCTGCACTCTTAGGGATTAAGACCTCGGCCCAAACTGGGCTTTATTCTGGAAAAGAATAACCACATCACTCAATCAGTTGTTTTTGCTGAAATGGTGTGGACTTAAACCCAACATATATGTATCTCACACTCATGCCTTGGGGAAATTAATCATGCATAATTTCAAAATATATAGGACTCTGAAAAGACACAGTGAATGAATCTTACATACTGGAAGAATAAATATGTCAAGTGATGCTGATTAGATTTCTGTGATTCCCAAATGAAGGCTGAAGTCATTAAAAATGTAACAGAAAAAAAGACACACAAAACCCGGAAATCTGTGTGCTCCCCAGCAAGAAAATTTCCCACACCATAATTCTGGAAGCAAATTATCTGCTTTGAGTGCCGGGGCAGACTCTTGGAAAGACACCTAATGTGTGGCTGAATAGTCCAGGGGCTCCTCAGTCCACTGCTTGCCACTCTCAGGGCTGGTTCTGGGCTCTGGAAGATGACAGATGGTGACTTCCGTTAGTCCAAGTAGCAAGATGGCCTTTAGGTCACAACGAAAGAGATTGAGTTCTAGCTTTATGCTGTGCATTTGAATTCAGGCTGGCTTTATATTATCTGTGGCTTTTGAATACAGTTACCTGTGTCCCTATTAAATCAAACTATTTGAAGGGAAGCCTGAATAAAACTGAATTTGGGAGTGCAGGAATGCTGTGGGGAATAGGCTCTATATGCCAAAGGGAGTCCCACATGGGTGGTGGGGAAAGCACTTGCTGGGCTGTGGAGCCCCTACCTGGGGTTCCGAGTTTTCACTGGCCATAAGGGCTTGTGTCTGTTTATCAGCAACCTCAAGTTCTGCGAAATTCTTGCCAGAATCTGTTATATGCTGAACACAGATAATGTTTTACTATTATCAACTTTACTGTATCAATTGTACATCACGAGACAGAAAGTTCGAAAGTTGAGCATTTGAAAACTCAAAAAGACTTGAGTTGGTCTAGGGAGGGAGTCCCTGGATAGGGAACCTGGAATAACCATTCTGTCATCTCTAAGACATGCCTAGAGGTGACAGTGTCTGTCATGCAGAGCTGGTGTGAGGGAAAAGGAGAAGTTGCAGAAGGTGCTTAGCAAGGTCCCCAGCGTGTTGTGAACACTCAGTGGCAGGTAATACTTTAACTGCGATCTGCAAACCTCTTGAGGTCAGGATTGATAAAGGGAAGCGGCCTTATTCTAAAATAACACAATGCAAGACTAGTTTGCATTTGGGGAGTGTTTCGTGGGGGCTGTTTTGCCTTCTTTGTACCCTTTAGCAGGTCTAATGTCTTCTACAGCAGATGATTTCAGGGTGGGATAGTCAGGTCTAGCTGAAAAAATGCTTGTGTGTACTTGCCTCAGGAGCTCTGTGGCCTAGTGATCTCCCTACATAACAGCTGAGTGACCTGGGATGAGGTACTTAATTTCTACATATCAAGGTTTTCTAACTCTAAAATGGGGTAATAGGAGGGGAACAAAAAAGGAGAATAGAATAGAATAGGACGGAGTAAGAGCAAAACTTATACCTCATTGAGTTGCTGCGATTTGGACAGCTCCTGGTACATAACGTGTTCAACACATGTCAGATATTATATTATTGTCATAAGTTATAAAGGTATTTTAAGTTGTAATGATAGTGAATGTGGGGACATACACCACTTCCAAAGTCAGTGTGAAACTTACAAAATGTGAAATCCAGACTGAGATCCAGGGTCTTGAGGGCCATGTTCAGATTTCACACCTGAGTGGTCCTGGAATGACCAGCAGCGGCCACTGAAATCATTTGCAGAAGTCCTAGTGGAAGGAAGTGAGATCTGCCACCGCGGGGGGGACATCTGCTTCCCAGGCAGCCTGTTGCCGATGTGTGGCAACTGTGTCAGATGCTAAAATGCTCTTGGCCTGCCAGCTTAGAAATTATGTGGCTCTTGACAGCCTTTTAAAATTTAGGGTGATTTGCATTATTTTAAATTCTGTGTATAAAATTAGACTTTTGAAAATATCCACTTAAAATTTGCATAAATTTTTGTAATATGCGAACACACAGATTTTAACTTTTTTTTACAAAGCCCAGCGTGATTTATGTCACATCAGATACTCACTAAAAAGTTGTTAATAAATTAAAGAACATAAGCTGATAATGAAGGCATGTATTCTTCCCAGAAACCATTCTCATCGAATGAGAAGGATCAGATTCTTCTCTCTTGGGGCACTTTGGGTAAATGGAGACTTCCAGATTTGATAAGGATGTTTGCCACAGTAATAGGGCAGAAGGATCATTTGTGTATTTCATCCACCACAGCAGGCATCACAGCCCTGTTTCCACCTAACACAGCTGAGGGACATGAGATGCTTCCCAGTTGCATGACCTCACTGCCGTCATGACTCCTACCCAGCTCCCCTAAAAGTCAGCCAAGGAAATTCAGCCTGCAAAAGCAGCCTTCCTACTGGAGATTTTAACATTCTAATTAATCAAAATGTCCTCTGCACCAGAAAATGAAATGTATATGTAATACTGCCTTTGCCTCTAACACCAGTGTGACAATAAATAAAGGTATCCTTATGTGTAAGATGCCTTCTCCTTCCAGAAAATGGAGTACATAAAACTTGTAACTTCGGTGGTTTGTCATTGAGGGGTTTGGTTGAAAGAATTGTTTTGCTACCATTTTTCTTGCTGTGGGTAGTGTTTCTTTTGGATTTTATGGCCTTCAAAAAAACATATGATGAAGTGTTTAATGATTTCATTTAAGGTGCTTAGAGATGTACTGCACCCTCAAGTTTCCAAGGCCAATATGTTCAGCTCTGTGTCCAGCTGCAGGGTCCCAAGGGGCCCTGGACCACAGCACTGGAAGACTTGTCTGTGGATCTTGAGTCCAGCAACACTTAGAGAGGAGTAACCCATCTCCAAAGAAAAGTCATTGCCCCTCCTGCAGAGGCAATAAACACCACACTGGAATCCAGTTGATTCCCTGATGAGATGCAAGTCTACTGGTAAGTTTATCTGCCGTTAAAAGTCAGAATGCCACAGCCAGGGGAAGGTCAGTCTTTTCCAGAGTGCCTGAGACAGCCAGACCAGCCAGTTGTGGACAGCGTGTGACCTAGGGCTGCCTTTCCAGTGAAATGACTAGACAGACTTGTGATACGAGGCACAGCACTGTCTGCTTCCCATTCCACAGATTAAAAAGAAAAGTATTCAGTCAGGTGCAGTGGTCACACCTGTAATTTTAGCA